AAATATTCCTAACATTAAAAAACATTAAATTGCTGTTCAATCCCAATTAAAATGATCATTAATATTGCCTTAAAATCATTTAAAGTAAAAAAACAAACAAAAAGTTAAAATCAGTAAGATTTTACAAGGCACTATTTGCCTTTTGAAACGGCCAAACAAGCTGTTTAATTCTGTTTAATCTCTGACTTTAAAGGAAGCCTTTACTCTTCCACTGATAACATCACATGAGGTTAATGGTTCATTTTAACAGTCTCACTCTCAATCTTTTTAACCTGTTTAAGATTTTCATTGTATTTTAGGGACACTTTAGTTTTTCTGTTTAAGTGAAATAAAGATTATTATGACGTGAGAGAATCTCCCTGTTTTATTTGAAATAATTAACTATATGTTAACTTTTTACCTTTTTTTCTTTAAGTCATTACCTCCCCATCCGTTGTGGCAACCAGCCAACCATCTGATTACTGCTGAGATGTTCAAAGCATAGATTTTCACAATGATCATACACAGTATGCACTGCCTCCTTGTGGTCAAATTGGGAACTACAACTTTTTGTTACGTAATCAAAATTTTTACCAGCAGTGTTGCTATTTATCTTCCTGCCTCCTAAAACTTTTTAAATGAAGTATTGTCACCTTGTGTTATCATTTCAAATAAAAACATATAACCTCATAGACAAATTGAAACCCCTTGAAATATTTCATATCCAAACGTGGGACAATAAAGGGATTTTCTATTCTATTCTATATTTCGTCACATTAAAACTGCAAGTTTTAAATTATTTACACATTTCCTCAGATGCACACATATACACCTGCGGGTTGTGGTCGGAAAATTTTGATTTCTCTACTTTCATATATTGGTTTATGCTATTTACTCAAAGTTTGTCACTCAAGTCAATTTCAGCTGCAAGGCCACACAATGCCTGAGTGAGTGGTGTTTATTCCCATAACAAGCCACATTCTTTCTCAAGGTTTATTCATAATATGTTGCTGTTTAACCAAAGAGTCTGTAATTTGTTTTGACTCTGACTACCTTTCCATTTTTGTAAGTAAGCGGAAAACGAACGCTCCCAGGTCAGAACAGGGCTGATTACTGTGCAATAAGGGCCGTATGATGAACTGTTCTCTGCTTGCAAAGATAAAATAAAGTGCAGACTGAGGGATATCCATCAATCTCCGTTTATTTAACCGGGGTGAATAGTTGAATACTTTTTTCCCCCACTACAGGGTATATGTTTTTTTCATGTGGGCACTGAACAAGAAAAATCACAAACAAAGGGAAAAAAAATCTTACATTATTTATATTATTTCATTTCTAACTGATTTAGTTAATTGTAAAGATTAAATATTAAATTGGTCCAAGGGACATGCAGCTTGGATCTTGTCTGTCAGTGCATATCATCTTAAAAATGATTTAGTATTTAGCTATTTGTATTTTTTTATTTGAATGTCTTAAATAAGTTATTCATTCATTCTTTCATTATGTCAGCCATCTAAACTGGGGGTCTCTGCAAAATTTTGATATGGTTTCATAATGAATAATGAATATCCTTTATTATTGTAGGATTTCGATGTGATAGACCAAATGCAAAGTGATTCCAAAGCACATATGGTTGCCTTTATAAAGAAAAATCTGGAAAGTATGCACTACATTGATATTTTAAGATCAAATAGGTTGAAATAATACTTTGTTAAACCACTTTTTCAGTGGTTATAGCTGAAAGTGTTGTGGGGTACATCTCTAGCAGCATTTTTTCATTTGTCTGTTAAAAAGTATTTTGTTACATCTGCAGCCCTGGACTGATTTGTACAGCCCCTAACCACAATCTAAGAATTGCATAAAATAATATATTTGGCAGAGGTGAAATTTAAAGATTGACTTCTTTTTTTCTTGATGAGGTGCTGATAAAATTAAGCCTTTGAAAAACAGAAGATACTAGACACAAAATCTATTATGTGATATTTCCTTTTTTATTGCTTTCTTTGGATTCTTAGTAAATATGACCAAAAACATCCACATGCATTTATACAAACAGCTGATTTAACCAAAATGTGCTTTAAATTATTATTTAAATTTGATCAAACAATGAATATATTGCTAAAGAAAAGTAACTGCAATCTACTCTTGGTTAGAGACAAAAACTTTGTTGTTTTCAAGCACAATAATACTAGATCTTTATCACATGATCCACATGATGCTTCCTTAAATAGAAAATAAAAGGCAGCAGCAGTCTGCTCTGGTAAGTGAGCACCAGCATTGTCTTCTTAAAGTAGACAGATTACAGCTGAGCAGTCAAAGGGAAGTCATTAATTAAAAGGCTGAAGAAAAGGGCCAGGAATAGAGCCTTGGGGAATTGGGGAATACCCGCATTAATATTTTAATAAACAGGTTATATTCCAGGGTTGTCTTCTATGAAGCTCCTCTCATCTTCCTGCTGATTTTGAAGCTTTTCTGTAGCCAGTAGAGAAAAAAAGTTATTTTTCAAACTGTAAGAATCTATCACTGCAAAATCATATGATTTATGGAACGAATAACTAAACAATGCATCCACTTATCAATAAAACCATAATCGAACTACAGAATCAAATGTTGGACCTATAATTGTTTATTACACCTGACCTGTAGCTAAAAAAGACACATTTTTTGTTTTCAAATGTTTTGTTTTTTTGTTTTCCACAACTTTCTCTCTATTCTTTTTTTATTATTATTGCAAACAAAGAACATGCAAGAATAACATAGAACATTAATAATTACACACAGATACAACATCAAAGGGCTTTACAAAATATAGAGCAATTATTTTACCATGTCAAAATGAAATCTGTGCTCAAGGATTGCAAATCTCTAAGGGCAGTTATGATTTGAATGGTTTTAGCATTTGAGATTAATTTTAAGGATTCTATATAGATATTAACAGAAGATAATAAAATCTGGAAATGTGTTTTTGGTTGAAAATATTTGGAGGTGTGAATATATTTACCATATATAATAAAAAAGTTAAAAACGTATACTAATTCTGTTTTGAAAAGTTCACATTTCTCCATCCCAAACAAAACATCCTTATCATTTTAAGCAATATTGAGATT